AAAGCCTAGATTGCCATTTATAGAACACTAAGGGTGATTCTGGTGAGGGCTCAGAAGAGGAGGAGAGCTAGAGGGAGAGCCTAAATCTGAGAGATCACTTAAGTGGTTGTGATCAGAGTAGTGGTAAAGCCAGGCACTGGTGGCTCACACCTGTAATTCTAGCTACACAGGAGGCAGAGACCAGGAGGATTGAAGTCCAAAGTCAGCCCGGGCAAATAGGTCTTGAGACCCTATCTCACAAAAACCCAACCTAAAAAGGGCTTGTGGAGTGGATCAAGTGGTACAGCGCCTGCCTAGCAAACACGAAGCCCCAGTTACACACACACACACACACATGCACACACGCACACATACACACACACACATGAAGAATAGTGGTAGAAACATGGACTGTAAAGGCCATTCTGATCATATCTAAGGTGGAAATGAAGAACAAAGTATTAGAAACTGGAGGAAAGGCCACCTTGTTCCAAAGTGACAAAGAACTTGACAGAATCATGTCCATGCCCTAGTGCTTTGTGAGGGACGGAACTTAAAAACAAGGAACTAGGATATTTGGAAAATGCGCAGCCTGGCTATGTAAAGAATGAAAAGGCATGTTTGGGAGAGAACAGGAAGGGTGTGGTCAAAGATAACATTTAATAAAGAGATTAGTGTGACTAGAAGAAAGATGCTATTATAAAGATCAGGAAAAATGAGTCCAAAGGTATGTCAGGGCATATTGGTGCTGCCACCCCTGCCATAGGCCAGAGTGCCAGGGCTGAGGGCAGAAGAGTTTTAATAGAGAAACCCAGGTGTCATGGGACTTGAGGCTTGCTGTCCAGGGCTCCCTTGAGTCTCTGTCCTGCACTCCAGTGCCGCACTCCTTAGCTCAGGCCACCCTTTGAGTAAGCCTTGATGGCGTACATGTGTGCCAACTCTGCAGGCAAGCAGAGTGCATGTGCAGAAGTGGCTGGCTCCATTCCAATGTCAAAGGATACCTTGAGGAGCCTGAGGTCAGAAGCAGAGAACTCCCAGAAGAGACAGGACTACCATAGGGGTGACCACCATGGCTACTGAAGCCATGGGTTGAGCCAATAAAGAGAGAGTTCCCACAAGGGTGATGTTTAGTGAAGCTTTGGGACTTCACTAGGCCACTCTCAAGACCTCAGAACTGAAAAGCCACAAATATAAGTCCAGCCTGGGAAAGTCACAGGCACTGGACTCTAACCCAAAAGAACTGCTACATGGGCTACACCTAGGAGTCACAGGGATAGGGTCTCCTGGAGCCTTGCCACCCAACCACCATGCCACAGTGCCCAAGTGGTGGAACACATGGGTTAAGGAAGATTACTTTCAAGCCACAACCTTTTATGTTGGTGTGATTTGGCTTGTGGCTTGAGAAGGACATTGTATTAGTCAATTTTGTGTTACTATAATAAAATACCTGGGGGTGGGTGACTATAAAAAAGAGGTTTATTTAGTTCACAGTTCTGGATGTTCAGGGGCTGCCCCTGATGATGGTCTTTATGCTGGCAGAATCACAAAGTGGCACTGGTATCACATAGAAACAGGGAGTGCATGTGTATCTCCCTTGTTTTATGAAGACACCAGTATTCAATTACAAGGGCTCTGCTCTGATGACTTTTTCTAATCCTAATCACCTCCCAAAGGCTTACATATCATACTTGAATTGCACTTCTACTTTCTCAATACCTCACTACGAGGATTCTATTTTAATATATATTCCCTGCAGGGCATACTCAAGCCATATTGAAACCACAGCAGACATGAATTTGGGGGGACCAGGGGTGAGATAGAATGTGTTTTCTTCAAATTCATGCGGAAACTTAATCCCCAATGCAATGGTATTCCAGTATGAATGGGACTGAGGTTCTCATAAAAAGAGGCATCCAATATCATTTGCCATTTTTGCCCTTCCACCTCCCACCATGGAGGTTACAATAAGGCACCATCTTGAAAGCACAGAACAACCCTTGCCAGGCACCAAACCTACTTGCACCTTGATCTTGGACTTCCCAGGATCCAGAACTGTGAGACATAAGTTTCTTTTGTTCATAAACTTCCCTATCTCAGGTTTTTTTTTTTTATAGCAGGGCAAATGGATTAAAACAGATAGGCTTAAAAGAGCTTAGAGGTTAAAGGAAAATGGTACATTAAGATTGGGCCCATATGACACTGTGGTGACAGATGTGGTAAGCCTGACTGTGTGCAGTGTACCAAAGAGCTTGGCACCCACATTCCCGTGGCCAACGGTGGAGCCTGTGCTGATGGGATCTGAGCAAAGCCCTGACAGCATTGACCTTTCTAGTTAAACCTAAAAATGCAGCGTCTTACTGTTTCATGAAGGGAACTGATTTTAAAGCCAAGAATGTTTAACTTTAAGTCAAGAATATCATTTTGTACTAACAGGGGGTGAAAATTATTCAATACATCTTTCAACAAAATCTGAATTTCTTTTTCTTTTTTGGTGGTACTGAGGTTTGAATTCAGGGTCTTCTGCTTGCAAGTCAGGCACTCTTTCTGCTTGATCATACCCCTAGCCCTTTCCTTCAACAGAATCTTCTTGCTGGAGCAGTAACCACAAGTTTTTAAAGACTCAATTTTGAGAGATAGAAACCTTTGTGCCTAAAACTGATGAGTTGAAGTAGGTTGAGCAGGAATATCAGAGATCTTGTTCAACAACAAAATGACTGTGAAGGAAATTTTGACTGCTAAATACAGTTTCTAGAGGAAGAAAAAAAGATTGGGCCCAGCTAGACACCAAGGGACCAGCAGTCTCCATGAAGACAAATGGCTAGCCAGCAAGGACCAAGTGGCCTCTAGGGGATGCTCTGACTCCTCTAGTGACTCCCTGGTATCTGAGACTCAAAGATGTCTGGTGATGGTATGGCAAGGTGCACTGATGGCTCTGTGAAATTATAAGAAAGCAGGGTCACTGCATGTGGTTGCTGGATGTGGTTGTCCTGTGGCCATCTTCTAACCTAGATTTAGATATCCCAAGGGACTTCATTGGGACCAAGAACCATTCTTCATTGCCCAAGCAACCATTATGGTAGGCACATCCTAGTGGAATACCATGACCTCTCCATGCTCCTGTCACTCACAGGCTGAGGGGGCTGCTGCAGTATGGAACAACCAACTCACACAGCAACTGAAGATGGACATCAAGGTGGCCTGTTGGTGGAATGGCACCATTGGACTAAGGCTAGAGACCAATCCAATCCTGTACTCCAGCACAAGGGAAACCAGCCCATGGTGCTGAGAAGCACCGAGCTGTGGGGTGGAAGTGGATGCCCAGTTGTCTGAATAGGCTGTGCCTGGGAAGTCCCAGTCTCGGTGTTCCTAGCCACACTGTGTCCTTTCTCCTTCAGACAGCCCGTCAAGGGGTTTGTGGTTCTGATCCCACAGTGATGCAGAACAGGGCTCCTAACACTAACCCGGAAGTGCTGCCTCCCCTGGTGCCTTCTCTTATATGTGGGAGACAGAACCAAGGAATGCTAGGGAACTACGGCCCCACCAGTGCCATCAGGATCCCCTGAGCCTTCTTGGTGATGAGCAATGTCATCAGACACATCACCTCCTACCCTGGATGACTAAGAGATAACAGAGTAGTTCTGACTTAGCCTTAGACAGTGCATGTACTGACTGGTGTATAAAGGTCAATTTTACTTCAGACTTGCATTATGTGTATTCATTTAGGAGATAGCTTTATTTTGTATTTGATCCAGATTGCTAAACTCCAGGTGAGCACAAATACAAAATGTCAAAGATTTTACCCTTGAATTTTATTAAAAAACAGCTTTTTACTTTTTTTTTTTTTTTGTGAAACTGGAGTTTGAACTCAAGTCCTCTCACTTGCAATGCAAGCTCTTTACCAATTGAGACACACCGCCAGTCCATTTTGCTTTGGGTGTTTTTAGAGAGATGGGGTCTGTAGGAACTATTTGTCTGGGCTCGCTTTGAATGAGTAATTGGCCAGATCTCAGCCTTCCAAGTAGCTAGGATTACAGGCATGAACGACCAGCACCCAGCCAGTCTTTTACTCTTGACACTGAGGTTGTTCTCCAGTGCTGTGTAAGCCATGGTGTAGATAGCAGATCCAATTAAGCCATGTCATGTAACTTTGATTGTCAAGAAGCATTGGTTTCTTTATTCTAATAAACTGTGAAACAAGTTTAGTATTCAAAGTCTTCCTAGTTTTTTTTTTTAACTATGGAGAATATTTTTGTCATCTTGTACTGTGATCTTATCTCTTTTCATTAGAAATAAGTTCTCATAGTCAAAAAAAGCTCACCAACCCACGTGACATGATTCATACTAACAGTATAGTAGGATTGTTTTCCCTCCCCCATTTTTCATGGTGAGATTTGCAAGAAGCAAAGAAGACATTTTATGAAAGAAGACTATCTCATACCTACAAGCGCTCTAAATGTTGGAGCAGTTACCCATCCAGACAGCTAAAGGGGAACAAACAGACCCCACAGAGATAGTTATGCCTGTGCTACTTAATCCTAACATTTTGCTTTCACATTGGGGCGGTGTTTGAAATTTTAGTGTAGTGGAGATAGTTCACGCAGGTGAGTTCTGCAGGTATACGTGTCAGCCCAGCCTGGCGTGGTCATTGGCACCTACTTTGATACCTGTAAGACAGTGAAGGATGTATTTTAGAGCAGATTACTTCCTTGTATCCTAAAGGCTTCTCTTTTCTCCTACAAAAGGCCCCAAGTTTGCTTATCTCCCCCCAACACCTTAAATCCTTGAGTATTTGGAGTATAAAGCTGGGATTCAAAAGCGAATAGTTTACTGTAGAAGAGGCGACACATTGTATCATCTCGGACATCCATACCTTGGTAAGAGGTTGGGGAAGACCTAGAATTGAGAAAGTGAGGCTCCAAGTGTGCAGTCCTTGCAAACTTGCGTTTCCTCCTCCAGGCCTGGCCCCTGGGCTCTGGGCAGTCACGCGGCGCGGCCCGCCTGGACACGCCCTTCCGCGGTCTATAAGGCTGCCGGAGCGCAACTGCGCCCAGACCTCGCAGACCATCGCCCGAGCCTGCAGCGGTAAGGCCCGGCGAGTGGCGCCACGGGAACGCGGTGGCGGGGAGGCCGGGTCCGCCGAGCCCCGCAGGACCCGGATCCCGCGCCCACCCGGGCTCCCACAGCTCCCCGCGCCGCACCCCCACCCGGCGACCCCAGCAGCACCGCGCCATAGCTGTGATCGCGACCGGGGTGCTCTGCCAGGCTGGTCTTCCGGGCAGGGAGGGAGGACTGCGATCTCGGGAAGCGCAGATCGGACTTTTCTTTCTCCACAGCTCCCTTCCTCCCCAGCTGAGTGTGCCGGTTTCCAGCCCCGGGCCAGGCCGCAGGAAGGGAAAGAAGGACCCGTCGTCCAGAGCGCACTTGTCAGCCACAGCCACGTAAGAATTCACCTCAGCACTGGATTGCTAGGCAGCCAAACAGCTGTTCTTTGCCTCTGCTTGGGGAAGCTGAGGATCTGAGAGTAGAGATCCAGATAGGTTAGTGGGTGGCCCAGCTGGGATCCCCAGCCAAGCTTAACCAGTGCAAAAACATTGTCCCCATTTCCCCTGCCGGACCCTGGACACGCTGAGTTCCCAGACTTGGTAGCTTCCACCAGCTGAGACTTTGGACGCTTGACCTCTTAAACCATTCTTGATTGAATCTCAAGACAAGAATGATTATACTGTTAATTATAATTACATCTTTGCCAGAATTTGTTTTAATGCATAGTAGATCGCTATGATTTTCTAGTGGAAATGTTATTCCAGGTGAATGTAAAGGAATGAGGGACTTGAATCTGAGGGTCAGAAATGTGTGTGCTCCCAAACCCAGTAGTTTGGAAGGGCCTGGGACTCGGGGATATGCCAAGGTTGCCACAGATGGTTAGACTCACCTGTCTGCCACTGCTCAATCCTGGCCCACCTTTGTATGCTTGGGACGGTGTTCTTGCCCTCTTGGTGTTAAGGTGGGGGGTGGTGATTGACACAAATTGAGGAAAATGGCAGGGAAAGGGAACTGCCTACTTCACTGGCACAGGCAGTGGGCAATTAAAGGCATCCACTCTGCGTTACAGCCTTCACCATGGAGCAGCTGAGCACAGCAAACACCCTTTTTGCCTTGGACCTGTTCCTTGCTTTGAATGAAAACAACCCGACTGGAAACATCTTCATCTCTCCCTTCAGCATTTCATCTGCCATGGCCATGGTCTTTCTGGGGACCAAAGGCAACAGTGCAGCCCAGCTCTCCAAGGTCAGTGGAAGCAAAACTGGCCTGCTTCTCACTGCTAATGTAAAGCCTCACCAAAACGTTGCACCTTTGAGCTCTTCGTGTGAGCTCTTAGTAAAACTGCATTTTGAACAGTTGAACACTGTTCATAAGGAGGCCAGACTTTCAGCCAACCCCAAGAACAGGCTTTCATTCACATCTCTACTGAGCACAGTCTACGTGCCAGCACTGTCTGTCTTGCTGAGGACATGGTGGATAAGTCCAGCAGCATTCTCTGGAGCTTGGTGTTCTCTATGCAGGAGCGAACCTTTGCCAGCTCTCCTGGAAATCCCCCACCTCACCCTGAGCCAGCAGTTCTAGTTTTTGCTTTGATATGATGACTGGCTACTCATGAATAACGCCTATTATGTGACATCACCTTGGAGTGTGAGAGTGATGGGACATGAGGACTACCAACAGCGGGGAAGTGTTGGTAGTGTTTGTTCCCTTTTTTAGGGACAAGGAAAGAGACAACCCTGTGAGACTGTGTTCAGGGCTTGACTCTGGGCCTGGCAGGAACATGGCTGCGGGGAGGGGGGGGCACAGCAAGAGGGCTCTGCAGGAGGAGTGCAGCAGGGAGGCCCACAAGGTCCCTGAGGAGTTGGCAGGTCACTGTTTCAGTAAGGGAAGGGGCAGGGATGCGCAGGCTTCCTTGCTTTCCTTAATGGGTGTGGAAGGACTTCAGTGTTGTGTTCCTTCATTCTTAGAGGGGAACTCTGCTCTGTCCTGAAGCCTAGGAAGGAATGAGGGTGAAAGTGGAGAATTTTCTAACCTATCTGTCACACACCACACAGCACTGCTCTCTGGGAGTGTGCAGCTTGTGTTCAAGTTCAAGAAATGTCTTGAGCTGCAGAGTTTCTATACTCATCACTGCAGAGCCGAAATCATTTTAAAGTTTTGTAAAACTCCACTTTCTTGCACCTGCCTAGCAAGCGTGAGGCCCGAGTTCAAACCCCAGTACCACCAAAAACAAAACAAAATGAACAAAACCCTCTACTTTCTTTTAAACCTTTAATGCTGTTAGCTGCTTCTTACAGGTTATATTGGCTCCTATTTTAAGGCTTTCCAGGGACTTTGTAACTTCTGCAATGAATAGTTTTAAGGTTTCTTAACTTTCGTTAAAGGAGACAGATCATAATAACGGCGCAGGCAAGGCGTACCTCAGGAAGTAATGTGAACTTTGGATTGTATGGTTTTTTCTTTGTGTCTTCAATGCAAGGAACCAGCCCAGGCCTTGTAAAACCATAAAGGGCTTCTTGATTTGTAACTGACACCTGAGGAATTAAATTTCTGCCAGAATAAGTTTTAAAAAGTTTTTCTTCTTTAAATAAGCGGGTTGTGGATGCTTTGTGTTATTAAAAAAAGCCTCAACCTGTCATATCTTTGTGGTCAGTTTTAGGAAATAATCCTTATTTTACTGTTTATTTCTGAGAACTTTCAGTAAAATTATATTTGCTACAGAATAGAAATATGAACATACCATTCATGACTTTTGCCAGAAACAAAAAAAGCAGACATAGAAATGTTCAATATATTAGCCACTCGTATTTGTGGAACTCCAATTATAACACAAATGATATAAAAGCAGCTTCTAATGTAATTTTTACGCTCATCAGGTTCTAAGTTTTGGATTCCACACTGCTTGGTCTCCCAATGAGAAATTATCAAAGCCTTGGGCTGGAGATCATTAATTGGGAATAAAAACACTATAATTTCATAAAAGCAAGCACTAAGGAATCACTTTACAATTTCAAAACAAATGGTTGAATAAAGAATGTTTTCTTCATTTTAGGCTTTTCATTTCGATGCAGTTGAGGACATTCATTCTAGATTTCAAAGTCTGAATGCTCAAATGAACAAACAGGGAGCTCCCTATATACTGAAGCTTGCTAACAGATTATATGGAGAAAAAACCTACAATTTCTTACCCGTAAGTACTTTGCACTTCATATTCTAAAACTCCACTGGATGGTGCAGGTTTTTTTCCTTCACAATCAAATCACAGAAGTCACCTTAACATTTATTAGCATTCATAAAAACAATACAGAATGTGAACACACAGCAGATAGTACCCCCCATTAGTTGATATGGTAGCTTTGTTTTATAGTCTTTACTGTGAGAAGATCAGTCCTGGATGTTCTCTTAAAGCAAGAATAAACCCTATAATTCACTTTCCAAGCAAACCAATATTTGCTAATTTATGAAAATGTTACATGCCTGTAATTCCAGCTACTTGGGAGGCAGATATTGGGAGGATCTCGGTTTGAGGCTACCCCAGGCAAAAAAGTTAGTGAGACCCCCATCTCAATCAATAGCCGGGTGTGGTGGTAGACACCTGCCATCCCAGCTACTTGGAAAGTATAAATAGGAAGATTGGCTTAAGGCTAGCCCAGGCATAAACTCGAAACCTTATCCCCAAAATAATCAAAGCAAAAAGAACTAGGGCCAGGGTTCAAGTGGTAGAGAACTTGTCTAGCAAGTGCAAAGCCTTGAGATTACACTCCAGAACTGCCAGAAAAAGAAAAAGAAAAAGAAAAAATATCAGTGTGAGGTTTGAAACAAATTAATAAACTTTATAGAACTCCAAAAATATAAGAGTTAAACTTACCACTATTAAACTGTACCATTAAAAATTGGTAAGATAGTATTTTTTTTTTTTGGCAGTACTGGGGTTTGAACTCAGGGCTTTGCACTTGCTAGACAGGTTGCCCTACCACTCGAGCCACACCTCCAGCTCTAAGATAGTAAATTTAATGTTATGTGTGTTTGAACACAACAAAAAGTATGAGGGGTAGAATTTTTGTGTCATGATCAAATGTAACCTTTTAGGACAATTTTTTTTCTTTTCAGGATTCTGGAAACCACTTCTGTATATAGTAGGAGTTATTCATGACATTTCCTTGTTTTTTTTAAATAGGAATTCTTGGATTCAACTCAGAAAATGTATGGTGCTGACTTGGCCAGTGTGGATTTTCAGCATGCCTCAGAGGATGCCAGGAAGGCAATAAACCAGTGGGTCAAAGGTCAGACAGAAGGTAAGAGATTGGTCAGCATGGAGTCTGTGTTAGCTTTTCCTTACTGTAACAAATACTTGAAATAATAAGTTTAATAATAATAAGACAATACAGTTTATATACAGTTTGGCCAATGGCAGGAGTGTGTGGCAGAGGAGGCTCATGGCTGGATATGAAAAGAAAGTAGAAAAGATAAGAAAGAGAAAAAGACCAGCATTCTAGAATCCCCTTCAAGGTCAGCCCCCTCCCCCCATGACCTAGGTTCGAGTGTTTCATTATGATAGTCTCTTTCCCTCCACTCCCCCTCCCCATCTGCAGCTCAGGCCTTCCTCCTCCCCCCACTTCCCAAAGCCTGGCCTACATGTTTATAATCAGTTGCTGTCACCTGTGTGTAAATTTTGCACTGCCCATTGCTGGACAGTTTTTGGATATCAGAAACCCATCAGTGAGGAAATGTAGACATGATACCTTGTCCCATAAGTTCCCCCAAACTACATTTTAAAGTTAAAACCAACATTGAAGGCAGAAAAAAAAATGCCTGCCTCAAAATATTTAATAGCCATACAGAAAGAAATGGAATATGGAACACATGGAGTCAGTATTCACAAACTGTTGTGCTCTTAAATATTTTTTTTGTCAGTGTCTTGTCCTGTGGGCAAGGAGAGGTGAGTGAGGACTGACTTGCTGTCAGGGCCCAATTCATTTATTTAACGCACCTCGCTTCTGACATAGTTTCCGTGTGAGTCAACGCATCCAGGAGGCATTGCAGGAATTGTTCCTGGCTGCACTTATGGCTTTGGGTGAAGTCTTTGTTCAGTAGAACAATTGTCTTATCTTTGGGACATTTAAAAATTGTTTTTGTGAGAGTAAGCCTCTACTTAGCAGATTTGAAGAAGTGATTTATGAGTGACCAAAAAATTTTGACTAAGGATTTTTTTCTGTGAAAGAATGGCCATTCACAAAATAATGATCACTGTTTTCACACAATCCAGGGAAGGAGAATTTTTTTTTTTTTTTTGAGGACATTTGGCTTGTTTGTATGACTTTTCTTTTCTTTTCTTTTTTTTTTTTTTTTTTGGTACTGGGGATTGATTTCAGGCCTCATGCTTGCTAAGCACGTGCTTTACCACTGAGTAATGCCCCACATTTGACTCACGTCAGCTCCTTCTGGGGTTCGAGTGCCGTCCTGGTCTGCCTCACAAGTTGGTTAATGTCAAGTAGAAACATACCAGTAGGGGCTTTCCTAACTTAACACCAAGTTCAAGGGCAATAAAGTGGGAAGTATATGTTTGAGTTGCATTTCAATGCTAATAAGTTCTCAGTTCAAATTTGGAGTTTCAATGTGGAGCTTTCAAGAAGCTCATTTTATCTTTTTAGGGAAAATTCCGGAACTGCTGGCTGCAGGTGTGGTTGATAGTATGACCAAACTTGTGCTGGTGAATGCCATTACTTCAAGGGAAACTGGGAGGAGAAATTCATGAAAGAGGAAACAACCAATGCACCATTCAGACTGAATAAGGTCAGGTGATGCCACAACTGTCCAATATTGCTCCCGGTTTTTGGTTTTGGTGCTGGGGTGGAACCCAGAGCCTCCTACTTGCTAAGCCCACACTCTACCACTGAGCCACACTCTCAGCTCAAAATTATTCTTTCCTGTAAAAGAACATACAGAATAATTTGAGTGATTTTTTTTAACTGTTCAGAAAGACACAAAAACAGTGAAGATGATGTATCAGAAGAAAAAGTTTCCATTTGGCTATATCCAGGACCTGAAGTGCCGGGTTCTGGAGCTGCCTTACAAAGGCAAGGAGCTTAGCATGATCATTCTACTGCCTGATGACATCGAGGATGAGTCCACGGGCCTGGAGAAGGTAACTGGCTCTAGACTTCACTACCCATGTTTCCTTTTGCTGTATTGGTTCTTCCTGTGGGTGTGCTGCATGGTGGGTGCTTGTTATTTGTCTGCTGATGGCTGAGGTTATCTGAGATTCCTTGCCAATGCTTGGCTATTTCCTTGTAAATATAACTCATCAGCACTTATTACACTGGAGCTTTACACTTATTATTATTATTATTATCATTATTAATTATGGCAGTGCTAGGAATCAAACCCAGAGCCCTCTGCACGTTAGGCAAGTGCTCTACTCTGATCTACACCCCCAGCCCAGAAACCCTCAGTTTAAATTTTCAAGATGCCTGGCCACTTTCTGAACCATTGTGACAGGTAGCATCTAGAGGTTTATGCTAAATGTAGCATTGGTTAGTGGCAGCTCGTAAACAGTCTCTTGGATTATCTTTCAGGAAAGTATAGTAAGATGAAGACTGCTTTACTCAGGAAAAATTTTTAAATCTAAAGCATTTTAACTACAATTTCATCTTGTTATTACACTGTTCATTCTCACTATGATTTATAGAGATTGTGAATTAAATTTCCATTGGGTCCCTTGGTAGCCATGTTACCTTGAGAGTTAGGCCTATTTCTTAATATGGCCTGTGTATGACATTCCCATTGTATGTGATTTAAAGGGTAGGACATCTCTTGTCATGGTCAGAAGTAGGCAAAATTATGAAGATTGTAGTTGTTCTTCTGTGACTTTAGCCTGCTATGTGGTTATGCCTTCCTCCTTTCCAGCTGAATTTGATATCAGAAAGGGATCTAATGTTAGTCATTTTCATGTCTAACGTATGTATTGAAATCAATGTGGTCCTTCTTTCATCGTCTTTTCAATTAGTCTTTTCTCTGATTGGGAAGCAGAAGTCTCTACTCTCAGGAAGGGAATTATCAGTATCAGTAGGATAATGGGACAGTGGTGCTGTTCTAGCCCAATAGTAATAACAATAACCATGATGATAACACCTAACACTTATATAACACTTGTTATGTGCCAAACACTTTATATACATCACTTCATTTAATGTTCACAGCAATGTTACAAGGTAGGTGCAATTATTGTCCTCATTTTATTTATTTATTCTTTTATTATTCATATGTGCATACAATGTCCTCATTTTAAACAATTAGGTCTCATCATTATCTGCCTTTTTCACATTTACTTCAGCTCCATGAAGTTTACAGATTACCACAGCTTCAGTGGTCTCAGAAAAAAATAGAAGAAACCTTTTAAAATTCCCCTTGAACCATTCAACCAATTAGGATAATAAAAGCTGCCATGGCCTATCACAATTATCCAGAGTGGTAGGGTTTTAGTAAGTCCTGAATGGGTGGATGGATGGGCAGATGGGTAGATGAATGGATGGGAGGGTGGATGGATGGATGGGTGGATGGATGAGGAGTGCATGGAAGGATGGAAGGAGGAGGATAGATTGGAAATTGGAATAGGTGGGTAGGTAGATGGATGATGGATCTAATGTTCAAAGTCTTGGACTGTACTTGCACCTTGATAATTTGGAATATAGCTGTATTCTATTTCACCATTTCCCAGGCAAGAATGAAATCTTGCAAATAATCTGTTTGGGCACAAAACATGAAGGAAATCTATTAGCAATTGCTATGATGTGTCCACGCATTTGAATAGCGCCTCATTATTTACTTATGTAAAATTGATTCACCTCTCCTTTTTTGCCTTACCCTAATTCCAGATTGAGAAGCAATTGACTTTGGAAAAATTGCGTGAGTGGACCAAACCTGAGAATCTGGATACCATTGAGGTCAATGTCAAGTTACCCAGATTCAAACTGGAAGAGAGCTATGTCCTCAATTCTGACCTAGCCCGCCTAGGAATACAGGATCTCTTTAATAGTAGCAAGGCTGATCTGTCTGGCATGTCAGGAGCCAGAGATATTTTCATATCAAAAATTATCCACAAGTCCTTTGTGGAAGTGAATGAAGAAGGTACAGAGGCAGCTGCCGCCACAGCAGGCATTGCCACCTTTTCCATGTTGGCACATGAGGAAGACTTCACGGCTGACCATCCATTTCTTTTCTTCATTCAGCACAAACCCACAGCTAACATTCTGTTTCTTGGCAGACTTTCTTCCCCTTAGAAGAAAGAGAATTTGAGATGAAGGTCAAGCTTAGAGCTTTATTCCTCAAGTTTTTAATAGTGACAGTTTTTGCTTATTCTTACCAATAAAACTACTTTTCCAGAAACAAATCTTTAATTTTCTTTGTAAGCTCATCTCTGTTGGATTAAACACTCATTAATTTTGGCAAGGACATCTACTTTTTTTTTTTACATTGAAAAGATCCAGTGATTTCTTGTGAGTGTATCACATTTAAAAAAAGAATAAATCAGATATGGAGATTCTTGACCATGTAAGTAATTCATGAAACTGCCTCACTCTCCTTATAGCCATTGGGAAACATAGCTTTTCCAAAGTCAGTTGTTTCTCAATCTGGAGGCAAAAAGAAAAGATGAAATCAATTTTATGCAAGTAAAATAATAAAGCTCTATTTAAATGAAAGGACTCGTAATAACGATTGCTAGTAGGGTTCCTTCATGTTTTGTGACATGAAAGCATGAAATTGATTTTATAGTTTGAATTTTGGGAGCCGTAATAGCCACCCTGACTGTTGAAGGGAAGATAAAAAACAGATATGCAATTGAAATGCAGGTGAACGCCCCAATGAAGGGCCCAGGTCACAAAGACAAACCTGACTTGCCTCATGTTGTATCTTCTGCAGGCATAGGGTTCTGTTACTATACTTTTTCAGTGCTTCAACCTGGTCATAACCTGCATCCCCATTTTGGCTCTCCCTTATGTATGATATGCATGTGTGGGATCACACGGAACAAAGAACTGGGTATCTTAGAATCAAAGATGCTAAGTGATGACAACAAGAAGAATATAGTAGGAGAAACTGTAAGCATGCTGGAGCTGCACAGGTCTTATCAACTGGTTTTCCATGTGTTTTTAAGAAAGGCTCTTGACTTCCATCACATAGGTTGTTATGGTAATAGGATGGCTTTGGGCAATGGTGTGGAGGAAGACAGGGTGGGGATTCTTGGATCAATATAATCTTTTGCCAAGCTCCTTTAAATGGAGCTTGAAATGCTGTAGTGTCTTGCTTCCTCAAGGCTGGTGGCATTGTGAGTTAATAGTTTCCTCAGATTCTGCAAGCCAGATGGATCCCAGTCCTCTTCTTTTTTCTCCCTGATCTCAGACAAGCCAAGGCTACATACACAAGAGGGTTCTGGGCCTGAAAATACTGATGGTAGTGAGGGGCTATGCAGATTAAAAACAAAATTCTAGCAAATTGCTTGCTTGCAAACTTTCCTTCCTTTTCCTTTCTCGTCTCCCTCCCATCACCACCACCACATACATTAAAATACTGCTATATTCCATGTTCTCTTAGCTCTAAGGAAAAAAAACAAAAACAGTATTCTCTGCCTTCTGTAACTCTTCTTTTTTGGTTCCTTACTATAATTTTGTTCCTTGCTATAACTCTGGAATGTCGGACATATTAAAGATTTGGTCCCCAGAGTGGTGCTATAGACAGGTGCTAGAACCATTAAAAAGTGGACCATAAGAGGGAGGTCTTTAGATCACTGAAGGTGTGTCCTCAAAAAGGAAAGTAGGGCTTCAGTCTCTTCTTTTCTTCCCACCTATAAGGTGAGTGGTTCTGTTTGCCTCATGCTCTCTGCCATTGTTGCCTAATCCTCCAAAACTGTGAGCCAAAATAAAGCTTTTTTCTTTATGAATTGATTATCTTTGGTATTTGTCATGGAAAAGGAAAACTGACTAAGCACACTCATTTTAAAATCCACACCGTTATTTTATTCTACATACTGTTAATCATATGGAAACTGATTACAGGACCCAAGCAACCCTGCTCGAACCCTTTTTACATCTGAGGAAACAAGTTTGTGAACTATAAGTAAATTGTCAAAAATAATGTTTAAGTTCTAGATCAGAGATCTGGGTGTGGTAGTGCACACTTGTAATCCAGCTATTTGGGAAGCAGAGGTAGGAGGATCACAGTTAGATGTTGGCCTAGGAAGAAGTATGAGACCCTATATAAAAAATAACTAAAAGTGAAACAGGGCTGGGGCATGGCTTACTTGCCCAGCAAGTGGGAAGAACTGAGTTCAAACCCCAGTACTGCCCCCCAAAAAGTTTCATATCAGAGACTGGAATCCAATTCATACTTTATGTGGAGACCATCTAATTCTCATAATGGTAACCTAGTTAATGCTAGCTCTTAAAGACTACTAAAAATGAAACCAACAACATAAGAGTCAGTCCAAAGAATAAGCTAACAGCACTGTGAAGAATACTTGATCAATATCCAAGAGAGATTGGAAGTCTAGAGAGGCAAATACGGAACCTGGGGCCACTTGTGCCCTGGGCATATTCCAATCCAGATAAGGTAATTAAATCATGGATTGTGACAAGTCCAAGGTTAGACAAACAGAGTTTGGACTTCAGAAGTAGGACCCCCATTTTCTTCCTCTGCTTTTTTGTGCCCCCTGCCCCCAAAAGCTTTGTCCTCTGATTTTGTGAACCAGCTTACAGCGCAGCCCTGCTGAAAGTCCCTCGGCAGCTCAAAGACACCCAGTACTGGAACTGGACTGCATCCAACCTGTTCTATTGCTACCCATGGGCACATGGCAGAAGCAAACTAAGGTCATCTTTGTGGGGAAAATTATCTCTAAACCTCAAATTATTTCTTACAATCCATGTTTCATATATAATATCCAGGATATGATGACGGATTACTTGTGGGGCAAGGAGCCATGTAATTCACAAATTCACAAAACCAGCACAAACATGGATAACAGAAGTAGCAGTGAAAGGGCTCAAAGTATTGGAATTGCCACATACAAATGATAAACAGTATTGTTTTCTAAGATCAAGATGATAGAAGACAGAATTAAACATTTCAGCAGATAGTTACAAACTTAAAAGATTCAACCAACTACACACAGAAAATACTACAACAAAAATTATGTCTGTACTGAGCATTCAAAGACATTTCTTTCTTGTCATTATTCCCTAAAAAATACAGAGTAACAACTATTTACATAACATTTATGTCATATTAGGTATTACAAGTTATCTAGAGATGATTAAAGTATACACGAAGATGTCTGTAGGTTACACAAATACTACACCATTTTATATAAGAGAATTGTATGAAAGAATCTACTTTTGGTACCCATAGGGGATATTAGGATGGCTGAGAGGGGTGGACCTGGAACCAATCCCCTGCAGATACCCAGGGACAGCTGTAAGATCACTGCTCTCTTTTACTCTCACTTTTTAATCCATTTGAATAATAAATTGGTGGTCATCACAGTGCTCCAGAGTTGAGGGTAAAGGAGAAAATTTTCCATAAGTTGTTCTGGGACATTTGGGAACCTATATGGAGAAAAATAAAGTTGATTGTGGCCTAATTATAAGCTGTACAAAAATTAATATCAGATAGATTATAGACTGAGCTGTGAAAGCAAAATAATACTGCTTTAAGAAGTTAATATAAAATTAAATATATAATTTTTATGAACTTGTAGAGAGTTTGACTTCTTTTGGTGGGACTACGGTTTGAACCCAGAGCATCAAGCTTGCTAGGCAAGTGCTCTACCACTTAGGCCATGCCCCCAGTCCTTATAGTTTGGTTTTCAGATAGGGTCTTGTGCTTTTATCTGACTGGGTTGGGACTGTGATCTTCCTATCCCTGCCTTCTGAGTAGCTGGTGTTACAGGTGTGTGCCACCATGTCTGACTTGTTTTTGAAAGAGGATCTAGCTAACTTTTGCTCAAGTTGACCTTGAACTATTGTCCTTCTATGTTAGCCTGATTTCTTACAGGACACACACACACACACACACAAGCCCAATGCACACATGATTTTGTTGGATTTACTTGTAGGTGTTTGAACATGTCGGATATTACATTAGATCACATGAAAATGAAGAACTTCAGTTCTGCAAAATACACCAGGAGTGAAATGGCAGAGAGTTCGTGTGGGCCTCTGCCCCAAGGAGAGGTCATGTCTAAGTAATGCCCAGCGGAATGTTCTCATGGCAGGGTTCCAATCCTAGAGCGTCCCGCTTCACCATTATCTCCCAAGCTACAGCTAGAAAACGAAGAAGGCAGGGAGCTGAGAACATACTGGATGGTAGAGCACTTGCCTAGCTTGCATGCGGCCCTGCCTTCAATCTCTAGCACCACAAACAAAACAAAAACAAAAAGGAGTGAAGGCAGCCAGAAAGCTTTGGGAAGTGACGGTTTTGGAGAATGGGCTTTCCAATGCCTTTGGAACTTTTATAAACCAGGAACATTACCTTAAATGACCCAGGGAAAGTGGTGGCCCGTCCCGATGACGGGAAGGAATCTGAAAGTTGAGTATTATGAAAGTGAGGATGCTTTCATTTATTTTTCATTTTTCCAAGGATGCTTTTAATATCACCAAAACGAAGACAAACATTTCTATAACTTTTGTGTTAGTCTGTTTCTTTAAACAGATTACTATACTGTCCTTGCCCTTCTAAACTTTTCTTTCCCCAGAAAGAAATAGTGACACTGTCACTCAGAACTGTCATCGGACCAGAGCTGTTTGTCCACTAAATTCACATTTAATGAGGAATAATGCAGGCTGCTCTGGTGCCTGGTCTCTGGCATTTGCCTTTTTTCTGAGTATGAGCCCCAGCCTCACCACACGGCCGCTGCAGTCCTCATTGTACACACCAGCTCAGAGCAGACCGGGGACTGGCATCTCCAGGCTCCGAAGGGCAGAAATCAAGCTGACCTGTCATGAGTGGGAGCCCCTGAAAGTCACCAGAGTCTTGTCCAGAACAAGGAGGACGATGTTCTGAGCTTTTCAAAATTAATGCTATTCCTTCATTTTCTGTTGTGAATCTTAGCCAACTACAATGATAAACAGTGACAATTTTATAAGCTCCAAAAGACTTGTTCTCCATAAAGCAGACCTGGGCTTGAGTGAAAACTGGAGATAGATGCGTTTCAGTAGAATGTGCTGAGTAATTATTTTTCTGTGGCACCAATTCAGCAGCCCATCCCCTCCAATGTCACTGCCAAGAACCAAAGTCACTACAAAAAAACAAAAACAAAAACTGAGGGTGTAGCTCGGTGGTAGAGCACATGCTTAGCATGCATGAGGCCTTGAGTTCCACCCCCA